TCTGTTAGAATTGAAGCTTGAAAAAAATCAACTAGTTGGTGGGGAGCCATTATATTTATTTTTCAGTTTTATTGAGATATGGTTGACATACAGCACTGCGTAAGTTTAAGGTGTACAGCATAATGGCTTGACTTAAATATATTGTGAGATTATTACCACAGTAAGTTAACATCCTTTATCCCATAAAGATACTGAAAAAAGAAAAGGAAACTTATTTTCTATTTCCTTGTGATAAGCGCTTTTAGGATTTACTCTCTTAACGACAGTCAGGTGGACGGTCCGGCAGTGTTAATGACAGTCATGCTGTATTTACATCCCTAGCACTTCTTTATTTTATAACTGGACGTTTGTGCCTTTTAACACCTTCATCTAATCCCCCGAATGTCTACTCCCCACTTCTGGCAACAACAAATTCGATGTCTTTTTCTTTAATTTATTTTTTTTAATTCCACATATAAGTGTGATCATGTGATGACAGTCTTCCTCAATCTGATTTATTTCTCTTGGCATGATGCCCTCAAGGTCCACGCATGTTGTCACAAGTGACAGGATTTCCTCCTTTGATGGCTGAATAGTATTCCTTTGGGGGAAAAATATATATATATTTCATTATTCTTTCATTCATTGATGGACGCAGGTTGTCTCTATGTCTTGGATACTGTGAATGATGCTGCTATGAATATAGGTGTGGAGATCTCTCATGCACATAGTGTCTTCACTTCCTTCAGATATATTCCCAGAAGTGGAATTGTTGGATCATAGGGTAGACATTTCCATTTTTAGTATTTTCAGGAACTTCCATACTGTTTCCCATAGTGGTAGTACCAATTTACAAGCCCATCACCAGGGCCAAAGGGCTTCCTTTTCTCCACATCCTTGCCAATATTGATCATCTTTTGTCTTTCTGAGAATAGCCATTCTAACAGATGTAAGGTGGTATCTCATTGTGATTTTGATTTTTTTATTTCTGTAATGATTAGTGATGTTGAGCACTTTTTCATGTACCCGTGAGGGTGATTTTAACATACTATAAAACAACTGCAAGTAGTTTTGTGTGACAGGTCTCAAACTGTGCTCAGAATGGACTATTTTTTTTTTTGCCTAAAACTAAACAAACAAAATTAAAACCACAACTGAAGAATGACAATTTTAGCATTAGTCGGCATGGAAGAATGATTTTTTTCAGTGTCAAATTATGACATATCATTCTAGATAATAATGATAACTTAGACATGGGTGCCTATGACTATGTTATTTGGCTAGCAAATGATAAGTGAGTGCTGGCCCTGTAGTAAGTGCTTTATAAACATAAGTTCATTTAGTCCTTATAAAAAAAAATCCATGAGTGAGGTGTTGTTATTCAGCCCATGTTAAAATTGAGGAAATCAAAGAACAGAGAGGTTAAATAACTTGCCCAAGATCCAACAGCAAGCTAGTAATGGAGCCAAGATTTGGACTCAGAAGATGTGTGCTCCTAACAGCTCTGCTCTCTGAGTCAGGAATGTTCTAAGAATCTCATATGCTTTGTGTCAATGACTCCTTACAATGTCTTTCTGTAGGTACTATTATTAACCCCGTTGACAATGGAGGGAATTGTGACTTAAAGAGACTGTGTGACTTGCTCTAATCCCTGCTCCACAACATTTTAAATTTCACAAATGAGCCTTTACATCTTCCGGTGCAGTAGGATCTAATTTTATTAGTTTTATAGCTGGTACATCCTGTAGTTATTCAGGTACGAGTTCATGACCAACCCCAATCTTGCCTCCTCTTAGAAGGTTTTGTTTGCACTAAAGAAAATTGCCTGCTGCCAATCTTGGGAACTTGGTTATAATGCGAAGTGTCACAAACATCTGAACACCTAGCTAGAGCGGGCAGAGGACAGGCTAGAATCATACCCACCCCCGGCACCTCCAACAAAGCAAAACTAAATCCTGTTTCTCAAGTCCAGTACACCATGTGTACTCTAAATGTGAAAAAAGAGAATGTTAGTGTTACTGACATCTGCAAGGACTTGGCCTCTCCTGGGGGAAAAAAAAAGAACATATTAGTGTTTTAAAAGTGGATTTCTATTGCTTACTTTGATTATGAACTGATAAAGCACAGAACTACCAGAAGCCTGGCTCCTTTCAAAATACAACCTGTTTCACTGTGTTCTTTGCTTCCTATAATCTCTTTATGATCAAATGCAGAATATTTCAGCCTGCAATTTCCAATTTAATTCTTATCCTCATTTGAGCTATTAAATTGGACGCCTTTTCAGCAACAACCAAGCCCCACACTGTATCCTCTGTTCCCGGCAACTGTGGACAGCCATCTGCTTGGATGATTTTCACCATATGTGTTTAAAGAACAACAATGTTTTATACATGCTTGATGTAGGTAATATTTGAAAATCATAAAACGAGAGGAGAAATCAGAATAAGCTATAAAACTGCAAGCAAAATCAGAATGATAAAAACATATTTTAAATCCCAAGAGTTAGCAGAGTTGAGAGCCCACATTTCCTATGATTTCTAGGAAAACTCGGGTATGATTTGAAAATAGTTCCCAAACTGGAAAGAAAGAGTTCCTTTCTGTAACAATTACAAACTAAGATTTTGAAAATGATTCTCCTCAAGCCAATTGTGATTTGGAATGAGTTTTTCTTTCTGGTTTACTCAGTGGGTCTTTAAAAATAATTCCTTAGGCATGCTGAGCTCCGTCTGCTTTTTTCCAGAGCCTTTTAGTAACATAATAAAATAATATTCAACTGAAAAGCTTTTAGTAAATTTTTTTTTATAATCTGAGTATAAACAAATTGCCTTATTACTGGTTAAATATGTATTTTTCCCTTGGTCAATATAATTGCCTTTCAATTAAGTAATACATAGTGTTCTGTGATACATTTAGATATGGGAAAAAGTAAAGTCAAGTCCAAAAAGTGGATACAGGAGAAAAGCCATGTATACTCAACACAGCAGGACATGACAAATATCCTATAGAAAATACGTCTGAGTTGAAATTTATCATCTATCATTCTGCCTCCTAATATTATTTTTATAACATGTCTACTTTTATTGCTTGCAAAGTACTTTCACCTACATTTCTAGAGCTGATTTTTATCATAGACACGCAAACTGCTGAGTTCATAGATTATCTCAACTTTGCCAATAAGAAAACTGAAGCTCAGAGCAGTAACAGATTGCCAAAAGCCACATAGCTGGTGAGGACTGCGCCCTGTTTTTTCCCTTCTTTTGATTCCAAGTCTCAGGCTCTTTTCACCAAGGCTTATCACCATCTCTGTTTAAGCTTGTGTCTGCAGAGTTTGGGAAGCACTCCCAGCTCTCAATGATCCCTCGAGGGAGTATGCAATGAAGTTTTGCATACATCATTCAGGAAGGCGCCAGTTTTGTCCATTTCCAAAAATGAGGGAGGAGCAGATAAGCTGAAGCAAGGATTCTGGGAAGGCGGTTTAGAGAGCTGTCTAATTGTTCATGAATTACTGCCACATGCCTGATTCTAATCCCACCTGCACAATAATCATCAAGGATAAAGGAGAGCTACTATGCATATTTCCTAACAGAGCAGTGAAATGACCTGAACAGGACAATTCAGGCAGTAAGTGAAAAGAGAAGCCAGGACGTGAGCCAAGGAGAATCAGTATGCTTCATGATCCTTCCAAGAACATAAAGTTTCCAAATAATCAAATAAATCCAAATTTAAATGTAAAGATGAAAACGTCCTTGCAAACCTGAATTTATTTTGGAACATCCAGTAGTTCAAGACATCATTATTAGTATTACTTTTAATAGGTATAAACCTATGAGCCACCAGCAGTGTAAAATTACCATAAAATATAAATCTACTCCTTTGAGGTAAATAAGATTGCTAGTAAGTTGTAATTTCACCACTGCAATGGTGGAAACTGAAACTACACAAGAAACTGATGAAGGTTTGAAGATAACGGGCTGGAATTTTGAACAATTAAGTGTTGCTGTAAAAGAAAGCATCCTGAATGATTCAATTCGATCATGAAATTAACATTTTTTGTTAACTATAAGAGAATCTAAGAAATCATATTGGAAAATAATTGGCCTAATTAAAAATCAGCTGCTTTCTTGTCCTGGAGTTGTGCAATGAGAAAAAAAAATCTGAGATATTTGAGATAAACATATGTATATTTAAATAAACTTGTTTATGTATATGTTTTTCTTTCAGAATAGAGTATTTGGTCTGAGGTGACAAAATCAGAGAATAGTCATTTCTCCATTTTCATAATGAAAATGCCATGCTAAAGAAAGCTAAATTTCCCAAAGCAGTTTCTTTGTTAAGAAACTTCTATACTTCCGATACTGCTGTCCTTTTTTTTAACGGCATCGTTTTTGGTGGGACATTTTGTCCTTCTGCCACAAGCTGAAAACCAGTGCTGTTTGCCTCCCTGCAGGGAATCTGGGTACTTCCCTGGCGATCCTGGCCTGTTGGGCAAGGTAGGGACTGCAGTGCCAGGTGGCATGTTCTTTTCCATGCGGTGTTCGTTAGGCAAAAGGTTTCTTTCTGGGAAAAAAAAAGAAAAAAAAAGACACTAGAGTTTCCTTATGGTTTCTATGCCCAGACTAGTGCGAAGATTTAAGCTTTAATAATCCTTTGAGAGTAAAAGACAATAAAAGATGTTTGTTCTTTTACATTAACTTTTTCCCCCAAGATATTTTTCCTCAATAAATTATCTCAGCATATGACTCAAAAAGTCCACCATTAAGACTAATACAGTTCTATGATTTATTATTATATATTTAACTGAACGCAAGGAAGATTGGTTAACAAAACAACAACAAATCACCTATTGTACCAGGGGGACTGTAGCTATCTCTACCTATGGTTCTTTCCCCTAATCCCCCTGCCAAAAAATAAATAAATAAATAAATAAACCTATTACGGAAGGATTAGATATTTTAGATACTGATCTCTTTTAAGTAGTGAAGCACAACTAATTTTTCTAGGTACTTCCCATTATTCTTAGTAAAAAATGAAAACAATTAACTGTATTTGATGTGGTCTCTTTTTGTAAACTTTTTTTATTGAGTTATAGTCACTTTACAATGTTGTGCCAAATTCCAGTGCAGAGCACAATTTTTCAGTTACACATGAACATACATATATTCATTGTCACATTTTTTTCTCTGTGAGCTACCACAAGATCTTGTATATATTCCCCTGTGCTACACAGTGTAATCTTGTTTATCTATTCTGCATGTGCTTGTCAGTATCTACAAATTTTGAACTCCCAGTCTGTCCCTTTCCACCCCCCGCCCCCTTGGCAACCACAAGTTTGTATTCTATGTCTATGACTATTTCTGTTTTGTATTAAAAAAAATGATGTGGTCTCCTTAATTTTACGAATAGCTGTCCCTCTGCCCAATGTTTGTTTTGTAAGAATATTTGTATGTATACAAAGGTGAAATTTAATCAAAACTGTCATGGCGTTTTTACAAGTAGAATACCTGGGTTTTTTGTGTGTGTTGTTTGTTTAACTCCCCACGAGTGCTATACTGTGGCTACTGGTCTGATCCAAAGTCATGGTCAATATAAGGAATATGTCATTTTCCTCAGGTTTGAGTAATAATGGTACCTAATTCAAAAGTTTACTGTGAGCATTACGTTAATGCATCTAAACCTATCCAATCATGAGACAGGGTATTTCAATCATGAGAAAATAAAAGAAAGTCATTGCCTTACTCCAGGAACATGAAGGAAGCTGATTTTCAGTTATATGAGCATTTTCCAATAAGATTTCTTAGATTGTGTTATAGGTACCAATGTATTGCCTCTCAGCTATAAATCTATTCTCAATACCCGCTCTATGATAATGCTTGGGGCTCCTCTAGGCAGTCCCGCTTTACAGTGAGCACGACGCTCACCTTCCCCAGTAGAGGGCGATGCAGCGCCACCGCGGGAGGAAGAGGGCTTCTCTGGCTGCTTCTGGCTGCAGTGCCTTGAACAGCAGTGCACGTCTAAGGACGACCAGTGATGCTCGGCTCCAGCCATGAGGCCAGAATTTGGGGTCCCCCCCAGCGATATTCAAGTTCCAGTCCAGTCTGGTGACCCCTTCCCAGAGCCCTCCCGGTGTGGTCAGTTCAAACGCCTCTTGTCACGACTAGTGTTTCGAATCCTTGTGCATTCCCCCCACCTGCGGCATCTGCCTGCATCCTGGATGATGCTTCCTCTTAGCCTATGTCTGTGGGCCAGATCCAGTCTCGGAAAACCCATGGACTTCTTGGCTTTCCAGGGGACTGCATCCCTACCTTCTCCAACAAGGTCTGAACCCCAGCCACAAGGAGGCTCCCTGCCAAGTCTGATTCCCTGGGAACCCCCCCTCGGGTCCTCTCCCTTGGCCATAGGACACCAGCTACCTTTCTCACTGCATCTGATAGTTACTCTTCTCTCATTGCCTAATGATTCTTTGTACGATGGCTTCCACTGTTTACAGTATCGTGTGGTGTCTGCCTATTGCTTGGACTCAGAGAGGAACAGATCATGTAAGGAACATTTTCCAAGAAAATGTTTATCTAAATCCCCAGTGAGCATTGCTTTTTTCTTTTCTCTTTCTTTCTTTTCTTTCTTTCTTTTTTTCTTTCTTTTCTTTCTCTTTTTCTTTTCTTTCTTTCTTTTCTTTCTTTTCTTTCTCAGCAGAAATGTTAGAACCTGTTCCAAGTGCTTCCATCTATGAACTCACTTGATCTTATGACAGCCTATTTCACAAATAGGGAACATTGACACCGTAGCCTCTTGAAATCTCTCTGCTAGTAGTCATTTGAATTTTTCAAAGTTGGATTGCTTTAGTTTAAAGAGGCTTATGCAGTTTCTCGCGCCTAGTAAGGACTCTAAGTGTTTAAGTTATCCTAACTGAATTATCACAACACTCTTGGTCTTTCCCGCCGTGATGTTGGCTCTTTCACGTGTCTGATGATGCTCGTTCTCTGTTTTCACTCCTGCGTGGACGGGACCGATGACCACACACAGCCTGTATGAATGGGCGATTTTTTCGACGTAGGTCTTTCTGCTGAACAGGAAGTTGGTTCTGAGCTCTGGATGAGGACGGGCACCGCAAGGCAGCTTCCAGGCAGGCAGGAGGGGGCGCACCAGACGCTCCCGCAAATGCTGGAGAGCAGTAATAACTCGGAAGTCTACCTCTTCTCGAGAACGATGTTTCATTATTTGAGAGTAGCATTTTCTGATGTTTGCTGGCAGGAAGATCTGGAATAAAAGCCAGTAATGCCAGATTTTGTTCTTAGAATAGGGAGAGAGGAGGGAGAGGCAGGAGAGTTATAAAGAAGGACGGAGCTGGGCGTGCCTAGAGCTGCCGCCGTCTCCCTGGCTCCTCCTCTCCCGCTCTGCTCATCACTCGCAGCCTCTTGAGGCTGTGCCCTGAAAACAGTTCTCAGCGTCATTACTTCTCCTGCTCTCTCTTTGATAAATTTTGGACAATCGGTTCCTCTGTTCTGTTTTCTTCTGTAATCATGTAGTGAGTTGAAGAGTCCTGCCTCCCCCCAAAGATATGTTCAGATCTTAACTCCTGGTAACTGTGAAAGTGACCTCGTTTGGAAATCATTCGGAATCACCTCTGCAGTTGTGATTAAGAGAAGGATCTCAGATGAGAGGACTCTGGATTTATGATGATCTCTAAATGCAGTCGCTGGTAGCCTTCGAAAGGCAAGAGAGCTTTGAGACCCAGATACACATGGAAAGAAGGCCCTGTGGGGACAGAGACAGTGAAGTTATGCGGGGACAAGCCACCAGACGCAGGAAGAGGCGAGGAGGGGCTCTCCCTGAGAGCCTCCAGAGGCCGTGTGGCCCTGCCAACACCTTGATTTGGGACATCTGGCCTCCAGAAGAGTGAGAGAAAATATTTCATTTGTTTTAAGTCACCAAGTGTGCGGTAATTTGTTAACAGCAGCCGTGAGAAACTATTATAAATAAAATTCCATTACCGTCCCATCTTTTAGAAGTCCTCCAAAATCCCTGAGTGTTCATATAACCCCTGGACCTATGCTGTTCTCAACACTACTCTGTATTTATCTCCTTTTGTTTTGTTTTGTTTTTGTTTTTTTGATTGGACCAGCAGCTAACTACTCTCAATCTGCATTGAACAGTTAAAAAATAGCATTTAATATTTAAATCCAGTCTTTCTTAAGTCTTGTCCTCATAGCCAGACTCAGGCTAAATTGAGAGAAAGTATTCAACTCCGAGAAAGATTTCATTTCTGTTCCTTGCCATGTAGAGGATGGGTTCCCCAGACACAGTGGTGTAGGAACAAACGCATTTAAAATGAAAGCCAATCAAGACGGATGGATTTGACAGCTTACTTACTCAGCTGCATTGGTCCCCCTGCCATTTCAGCCAGAAAGGTGTGTGTATGTGTGTATATATTAAGTGCTTAATTTTTGCACCAGCATTGTTTCACAAGATCTCTTCAGACACATCCAATATTCATTTTAATTTCAGCCAAAGTAGCTATAAAATCAGTTTCCTTTATGACATTAAATTTGCACTCCAAACCTTCAGTGTGCTTTACAAAAATCTATTATTTCTTTCTTCCAGCAAAAATCATGCAGTGTTCTGTTTCTGCCAGTGAGGAATTAGCTATGTCAATGGGAAGAGGGCTTTGGGAAGGCAGGAGGCACCGAGGAATAGCCTGGGTGGTCACATGGGTTTATCTTCATTAAGACATTTTAAAGTTTAGCTCTCAGTGTGAAGATAATTTGAACTGAAAGAATTTTTGTACCTTGCTACCGCCATAAGTTCCCTGTAAATGGCTGAAGTTTTACAAATGAGAAGCTGTGTGCCACTTCCGCTGAGCAAGGTACTCAGCGCTAAGGCAACAGAACACTCCTTAAATATCTCCCTTTGATGTCAGAGCCTGAAAATTAGGCATTAAAAATGAATAACCCTGCAACTCGAAGAAAAAATTAGAGCAAGTGGAAGATAATTTAATGAATCCCTATGTGATAGGAAACCAGAGTTCAAATCATTTGATATCAGAAAATAACCTCCATCCCTTAACCTCAAAATACATTAAAGCAGCTCAGTCCACGTGTCTTCTAGTGAAACTTCCTCGGATAATTCCAACGCACATTGATCTCTTTCTTCAAAGACCGTGTCTGTACTTACTTGTGTCAATGATCAGCTTACCATCATACCCCGTTTTGTGGCACTGTCAGAATCTCACTCACTTGTGGGTATCTGGTCTCCCTATTGAGAGTACAGACTCAACGAGGTCAAGAATCTTATTCTTCTGTGTCCTTCACTGCAATAAGGACTTTTAAAAATGAAAGTGAGGTAAAGTTGAAAACATCATGGAACGCTCAGACGCACTGATTTTAACTAAAGCTTCCAGTAGGAGAGCCTGTATCATTGCATCTGCAGTGGGAAAAGTTGTAAGGTGGCGTCTCCCCTTAGTCTTGGGGAGCAAGTCACATGAGTCCATTATGTTCAAATCCACATTCTACCTGCCACACTTCTCTTTTGAATTCTCCTCTTGTGAGATTGTGATACCTTTTACTTAAAATAACTGTGAAGGTATGTCCATAACATAATTGGTTAAGACTTGGGTTTCCACCAGCCCATCACCCAGGTCATCAATCTTGCTGCAGCCCATAGTTGGCGAGCTATTAGTAACTAGCATTTTGGAGCATTGATATATTCCAAGTGCTAGATAGATAGATAAATACAGTTATAGATGCATGTCTGTATGTGTGTATATATATATATATATATATATATATATATATATATATATATATTTTTTACTTCTTACACTACTAGTATTAGTTAGTTATTATTTTAGTTTGTTTCGTTTTCGTTTGTTCGTTGTATTATTACTTAACTTAAGTA